CCTTCCCTTGACCTGTTAGCCATGCTTCTCCTGATCAAGCCCAGGATACAGTTGGCTTTCTGGGCTGCCAGCGCACACTGCCAGCTCATGTCCAGCTTTTCATCCACCAGTACCCCAAAGTCCTTCTCAGGGCTGCTGTCAATCCATTCCCCACCCAGCTTGTACTTGTGCTTGGGTTTGCCCCAACCCAGGTGCAGGACCTTGCACTTGGCCTTGTTGAACTCCATGAGGTTGGCAGTGGCCCACCTCTCCAGCCTGTCCAGGTCCCTCTGGATGGCATCCCTTCCCTCCAGCGTGTCAACTGCGCCACACAGCTTGGTGTCGTCGGCAAACTTGCTGAGGGTGCACTCGATCCCACCGTCTGTGTCGCTGACTGGCAACAGTGTTGAACATTGCCAGTCCCAACCGTGACCCCTGAGGAATGCCTCTTGTCACTGGTTTCCACTCAGACATTGAGCCATTGCCCAGGTCTTTGAGTGTGACCCTCCAACCAGTTCTTTAGCCACTGAGTGGTCCATCCATCAGATCCATGCCTCTCCAATTTAGAGACATGGATGTTATGTGGGACAGTGTTAAATGTTTTGCACAGGTTCATGTAGATAATTTCAGTTTCTCTTCCCTTACTCACCAATGCTGTAACTGCATCGCAGAAGGCCACCAAATTTATCAGGCATGATTTGCCCTTAGTGAAGTCATGTTGGCTGTCACCAATCACCTCCACATTTTTCATGTGCTTTTGCATAGTTTTCAAGAGGATTTTCTCCATGATCTTGCTGGGCACAGGGTGAGACTGGCTGGCCCTGTAGTTTCCCTGGGTCTTTCTTTTTTTCCTTTTTCAAAAATGGGGGTTATGGGTCAACAGGTCTAGAATGTTTTTTGTACCCATCAGACATGTAATGTGTTTTACATGAAAACGAGACTGTTAACAACTTTCAGTGCTTGCTGTATTGAACTGATTGTACCAGCTAGGCTTATTCTGTCTGATAGACTTGTGGGTTTTTTTTGGTTCAGTATCTTGCAGAGCTGAGTCTTCTTGAAGCTGATCCTTTTTTGAAGTACCTCCCTTCACAAACTGCTGCAGCAGCCTACTGTCTAGCAAACTATACTGTGAACAGGTCTTTCTGGGTAAGAACAACAACTGCATGCTAATGACTAGCTCAAGCATTTTGTTACCGTTAGAACTAGGCTGATAGGAAGAAGGAGTAGCATCAAAGTATGTTGTTATAAAGGATGAAATCCTGGGATAAGTAGCTGTTCCTGAGCTCATGGGACTACCTGATTCATGAATGTTAAATAAATCTGAAACATCCTGCCCCTTCTCTGAAATGGGAGGGATCTTGCTGTCTTGCTCACTTATATCAAGTCTGTACCTAAGGTTTTTTTCAGTCTTTAATCTCCCAAACTACTTCCTCAAATACAACTCATAGGCTTTCTGTGAAGGATGGGAGTGCTGAATATGTCCACTTGAGTGGAATGATCGCACTGAGTGGCTGCTTTAATGCAAGCCTTGATAGGTCTCTCAGCTGTGTGTTAGAGGAATAGCTTTAATAGAGAACAGAATCAACAAGAGATTACATGAATGCCATATGCTTAGAGGAGAAGGAGCTTCTTGTCAGATCTCCTGGCTCCATGGAAGACCTGTAGTGCAACTGATAGAAGGATACATTTCAACCCTTTTCAAGTCTAAAGAATCTAGCCTGGGAACTGATGTAGTGAAAATGGTTTCTGCTCCTGTAGAAAATATATCTTATAGACGAATGTTGGCTATAATAGAGTAACATTTTTTTCTTCTCTGACCAGCCGGAAACACTTGCTGCATTCACTGGGTATTCATTAAGTGAGATAGTGCCTTGCCTGACTGATCTGCATAAAGCATGCCTTGATGTTCCTCATTGCCAACTGCAAGCAATTAAGGAGAAGTATAAGCACCCAAAGTAAGTAATGAGGCAGCTGATGTTATGTAACTTGTGTAACTATAAGCACAGGGTGACTCTGATTTTGCAGCTTGGGCTGCAGCTGAAAAACTCCGTGGTGATCAGTTTCTCCTCCTGAAATGGGAGCCTCTGTCAGCCTCTTGATGGGACAACTTGGCTGACCATAAGAGAGTTCATCTATAGGTGTACAGATGTACTGGGTAATTCTGTAGTGTTGTAGGAGGATTCTTTTCTTCCCCAGTGCATGGCACAAGAAGGTGATATCTTTGGATTTGTCAGCTAAACTACTATCTTTAGTAACTGCACTTCTCTTCCAGGTACCTGCAGGTGTCTCTTCTGGAGCTCCCAGCAGTTCTTCCTCTGCAATAGAGACTGTGGATCCAGCACTGGGGGATTACTTCATGCCAGTCAGCAAAGCTGGACTAACACTTCATAGAGCACTGCAGGTCATGTGTTTGTAGCCATAGCAATAAGAATGTTTTTAGCTATTTTTAAATTAGATGCCTTTTAAAAAGATATTAGACTATAGCTCTGAATATAACTGACAGCACTTTTAATAAATCTTATTACACTGTTCCTCTGTGAATCTTCTGACTTCTGTTAATATCTGTAGTAAGTGAGTGGGAAGGGTTGTGTGTGGGTTATTTTGTTTTCGGTGGGTTTTTTTTTACCAAAAATCATTGTGTGGGGCTTTCAAGCTTCTTGGAATGGATGAAGTGTGGCTTGAACCTGACACAATCTGACATCCCCATAGACATGGGTGACTTGCTGCAGTATCATATCTGTTTCTTCCTCTCCTATGAGACAAGATCACATAGCCATGAACAGAACTTATTTTCTGCGACTTGTTCACCATATCACAGCAAAACCATCCAGATGCAAGTGGTCTGTGAATTCTGAACTTGTGCGTGAAAGACAATCAATGTTAAGGTAAAAGTTAAACTCCTCCTGGAGGCAAGTAAGGGAGATTCCTTTGCAGGGAGCTGGAGGAAGGGGAGGTTGAAGTGTTCCTGAGGCTCTGCCAGCCAAACACTTGTGGACAGACTGCAGTAGAGAGCAATGCTAGCAGCTGTGAGGAAGAAGCTGGGGCATGTGAGGTACTATAACAGTGGAGCTGAGCTAGGTAGCTGCTGTGTCGTAGTTGTGGTACTGAGTAGTCTTAGGATATCGCTGTCCAAGATGACCTTTTCTGTCCATAGAGCAAAAAAGTGTGCTCTAGAGAAACATCACTCTTAGCAGAAAGGAGGGGGGTGATGAGTCAGGGCTAGCTATTTACCTTATTCTGAGCTGCTATATTTTTCTTGGTTCCCCCCAGTTATTTGTTAGGTAATGTTCATAAAGAACAAGCAAAACACTCCTTGAGTACTCAACTACTTTGGAAAGGGTTGTGTTTTTAAAAAAACTACTTAGTTGGTCATGTTGGTCAACATGTGTTGACTGTATTCTACTCATCTAAATAGCATGGCAAGTCTGAGGAATTGTCTTACAGTGACCTTAAAACCTTCAGTGCATACTGTTTCCTAAGTCATTTGTACAGGTCATTATGTGTTTCCATACAAGAATATGCTTAACACTTGACATTAACATGCAATTCAGCAGAAGTACTAAGTACCAGAGAACAAGCCTCTTTAATTTTACAACCTGATTATACCAGCGTGTGTGTGTTGTGAAGTGATTCTTAGCTTCAAGGGTTTCACTTTCCTCAATGTGTGTAAGAATTTGGATGAGGAGGAGGAAGAGGGAAGAGACTGGTGAATCCTGCTATTGTATTGCAAATACAAGGGCAAACCCTTGTATTCCTCCAAAATGGTGGTAATGACTGAGTCACTTGTCTTGCAGTAAATATCCTTTAAGGAAGAGGGGCATTGAGTTTCAGTTTAGCCTATGCTGTTCTTGATCTCCTGCTTCAAACACTTTCTAGTCAAGCAAATGAATTCCAGGACAAACTCATCAATAATGACATATGTGAGCAGATATCCCATGTCTGTATCTGTGGTATCTACTTTATGGTGGGGGCCTAGATCCATGGATTGTCTCCCTGAAATGCATTTCATGGCTGGTGGATGAGTCTTCAAGGCAGGCTATGAACTTTGCTCATGTTTGCAACCAGCTTCTTTAAGTAGGTGGCTCAGTACAAAGGTCAGAGCCAGTGGTGCCTAGTTACAATGGAGAGTGTTGAATTTCTTGGTCGCCTGTTTCACAAGGAAATGAGTGAGTGTAGTGAGCAAGAGTTTTGCTAAATCGACCATGTTGTGAGTGTCAACTTGTTTATGGCGTTTCAGGCTGAACATAAAGTGTCCTGAAACCACATGTTAACAAGCCTTACTCTACTTGTAAATAATAATTAATAGTAAATAATAGCTTACTGAACTGTAATTACTGTTGTGTTGAGTATTTTGGAAGCCCTAATGAATGTCTTGAGTGCAGAACTGTTTTCCTAGTGTTATACTTGTTTGAAGGTATTCCTATGGTCATGTCACAATAGTAATGGGGAAGACAGGAGTTTTGGTCTTGTGAACAATATGACCACTGACATATCCTGTGTCCCTGGGCCAACAGATTTGGTGCATCTAACACAGTAGGTGGTGTCCAGGTCTGAATTTACTAAGTGTTTTACCATGTGGTGTCTTTCTAGAAGTCAAACTTTCCTTCTGTTTTACTTTTTTTAGAGTTTGCTTAGCTGCAAGACAGATACAACTGTTGCATTTAACTTCCTTGAAGCTCTAATTGTCTGGTACACAAACTTGTTTACTTCTTAACATCTCTAATATCTAAAGATTGTGCTTTGTCTGCTTTCTCGTTTGTTTTGTCATTGTTTTACAACTTCATTAGTGGCTTAAATATTCTTTTAGTCTAAAGGCTAAAAAGGGAAAATGAAAGAAAGCGTAGTTAAGGTGAAGAATAAAATACTGCTGCAGTGTGAATGGTGGTAATAAGTTTGTACCAGATGGATTAGTTTTTAATTTGAGATAGAAGAAACTGATCTTGAAGTTGCCTTGTCTGAGATCTATTGGTAGTAATGGCAGTTTGAATGCTCCTGTTCTATTCCCATTTCCTTTGTTTGTCTTGCTCAGAGCAAGACAAAGTCCTATTGTTCTTGTATGAGTGAGACTTGACTCTTCCAAGGTGAAAACTGAGTGCTATCCACTCTTGTTCTCTGTGAGTCATCACGCTTAACTGTCCTACCCCTCGTATAGGCTCTCCTCTGCAGCTGATACTTGAGAAAGGTATAAGAGATGCTTCTGTAAGGCATATTGTGGTAATGAAGGTGAAATAACACTGTTTATGCATCTGCATTTAAGCACTCAATCTTATTAAAACACTGGAGAGTATTTGCATTTAAGCATTCAATCTTATTAAAACACTGGAGAGTACTTAAAAGTTGTACTGAAAATAACCAAGTATACAGGAATATGGGTTTGTAAGGAGGGAGATGAAAGCAACCCAAAAGGAAGCTTTCAGTTTTCATTGATGTAATGCCTGTGCTATACAGAAAAATTAAGACCTGTAAAGCTCACAGCCCTTGATGTTTGAAACAGACTTCTCCAAGACAGCCGTATCCTGGAGAAAAATAAAGGTGAATCAACTTTTAAAGACTAAACAGAGGCAATCTCAACTTTTAACCATCCCACTTAGTGACTTGTTGACTGTGGCCACAAATGAGACCTCCTTTTGTTTTATTTCAGTAAATACTTAAACAGTTGTGGTTTCAGAATTGTCAAGCCTGATCTTGCTCTGTTAGCTCTGCTGTGAAGATCAGTCTGACTTCAGCATGTGCATTTCAAAGGCTGAATACTGACTTCTGTGCAGGCCACAGTATCTTCTCCATGGTTAAAGGGTGTTGTCCTAGTACACTGGTAGTGAAACCTATTGGTGAGACAGCAGGCTGTGAGAGCACCTAAGGAGCTTTGAGTGATCATTCAATACTCAATTGAGTGTGTTGAAACTGGGAAGGTTGAGGGTTTTAACTTTGACTCATGATGTTCAGTTCAAGAGCTCTTTTAATGACAGTATTAGGAAAAAAAGCTCCCTAATCTTATCTAAGCAGGTCTCCATATAATCATGCTGTGACTTTCAGAAGAACCAAATATGCTGTGGTTACATGATCCCGATTCTTCTATGTTGTAGTTAATTTTTTCTAACCAATAACTTTAAATATTGTAGCTGCTTCTGGTGTCCTGAGAGCACTGTTCTTTATAGCTTGGGATGTGTTGTGGATCCATTGTTCCCCTAAGATTAAAACGGACAAGCAGAACTCAAAATAATACTCTATGGGAAAGTACCGATTTAACAACTAGAGCCCGTCTTTGTTTTCCTCTTCTCAGGAGTGAGCTAGGGAAGTCTGACAGGTAATTAGAGAGAATGATTTAACTGTGGTCATGCCAGTTAAGCCATTAATTCATGACCGAAGGGTGTCTGCCTTGCTGGGAAATCTGGCTGCATGATTAGTCTGTGGGCATACCTGCTTGTTGTCAGTTCTACAAATGGCTAGAATTAGCTCTGATCACTGAGCTTGGTACTTATTTTTGCCAGTGACCTTGAAGCATTTTGTGGGGCTGCTTGTAAGGATGAGAAACAAGGCAGCAGCATTGGTGACTGCTTCCTGGAATTAAGCCTTTTGTGTTGCAGTTTTCCTCAGCACCCGCTGCCCTAGAGCAACATCATCTTTGAATACTGAAGGCTTGTTCAGCCTGGAGAGGAGAAGGTTCTGGAGAGACCTTATTGCAGCCTTCCAGCACCTGAAGGGGCCTACAAGGAAGCTGGAAAGGGGGGGTCCAAGTGCAAGGGCCTGTAGCAATAGGACAAGGAGTAAAGGGTTTAAATTAAAGCAGGGAGTTTTAGATTAGAAATTGGGAAGAAATTCTTCCCAGAGAGGGTGGTGAGGCACTGGAACAGGTTGCCCAGAGAAGCTGTGGATGCCCCATCCCTGGAAGTGTTCAAGGCCAGGCTGGATGAGGCTTTGAGCAACCTGGTCTAGTGGAAGGTGTCCCTGCCCATGGCAGGGGGGTTGGAACTAGATGATCTTTAAGGTCTCCCTGGCAACATGTTTATGAAGAATATGCACTTTGTCTGATGTTCCTGCAGAGATGTAGAGAAACATTGGCTTAGCCTGCATGATGAGTAGCTGATTACAGCTAGTCCCAGCTCTTCCATGCCCTGCTTGGGGTTTGCCAGTGTAGATGGCAGCAGTGGAAACATGTAAGAGAATTAGCATAGACAAATTTCCAGGACAGTCTACAGAAAGATACTGGGCCTATGATACAGTTAATCCCAACGTACATCCTTGTCCTCATCAAATTAACTTGTCTAAACTAAGCTAAGGCAAGAGAAAGACCAGGCAGTCCTGGTCCTAATCCTCCTGAAGATGCTAAAATTATGGCTCTATGTCCTGGAGTTTTGTACAGTGCTTGTTTTAGATGTGCTGGTACTTAAAAATAATTGTGGGCTGAGTTAGGGCTGGTTTCTGGCCAAATATGTGTCTCTATTTGGCTTCTTGCCATGATGCTCAGGCATCATGATGCTCCTTCTTAAGCAAATTTGTCCTCGGGAGAGCTTGTTGGAGCAGGACAAAA